TCGCATCGCAGCCCCCCCTTTCCCTCCGCCTTAGAAATAATGATTTAGTTTCCCCCCCCACCCGTTCTCCTGCCCAGAACCGCTGATGCCAAGTGACAAATGTTTGGGTTTGGGGGAGGGGGGGGATGTCTCTTATTTTGTACAGAAAACGAAAATTCCTTGGAAAAAAAAAAAAACAAACCGACCTGTCTTTCGACTGAAGTAACTTTTCTGGTGCTGTTGTTAACTTGGTCCTTTTTTTTTTTTTTTTTTTTTAATTTATTTCCCCTCCGTGCTCCTGCCTCTGCCGCCGCTTCCCTCCCTCCCCGTCCCTCCACCAGGTTTCTTTCTCTTTCTTTTATTCCCTCTTTTCTTTTAATTTTTTTTTTTTGGTGGTAATTCCCCTCTTTCCCACCCACCCCCTGTCCCCCCCAATTTCCATAGTCACTGCTACAAGTAACGAATGCACTGTGAAGATTCCAGTATTAATAAAGGTTGTACTGTAATTAATAACCTCGCCTGCGGTCCTATGGATGTCCTGGTACCCTGGGGTCACCACAATAATGGGGGACAAGTGGGAAAGTCCTGTCACCCCCTTCAGGTGCCCATGACTGGGGAGGGTGGATGCTGTGGGGTACAGGGGTGGTGAGACATCCCCATGGTCAAGGTGCTGGGTGACCCCCTGGGATGCAGAAGAGCATCCCCCTGCCCCATCACCTCCAGGGGAGGAGGTGCAAGCGGTGTCCCCCGCCCCATCCATCCCGGCAGCACCCGCGCCGCCACCTCCCAAATTACTGAGGCCAATTGCCAAACTTCACTGGGGCAGCACAACCAGCTGCAGTGAGCGGTGAGGATGGAGGGGCTCAGCGTGGGCAGTGTCCTGCTGACCGGCTGCGATGGAGGACTGGGCCTGGGGCTGCTCAAGGGTTTGCTGGAGCAGCCCAGCCCCCCTCGGCACCTCTTTGCTGCTTGCCTGGACCCCCAGGGGAAGGTAGGTAGGGTGCTGGGCGGGGGGGGCAGCTCGGGGACAGGCTGGGAAATGCAGCGGCTGGGGCTGCCGCCGTCCCCACCTGGCTTGGGGGGAGGGGGCTGAGCATCAGCATCCCACACTGTGATTGGCATGGAAAAAATATATATTTACATATTTAATTTTTTTTCTCCTCTTGGCATAGATCAGTGCATAGCGGGGGGGTGCCAGGGGGTTGCTGGCAGCCCCCACACCAGGGACACCACTGCCAGGGGCTTTGAAGCTGCTGGGTTCAGCTGGGTGCAGAGAAGCAGCAGCTCACCCTGAATCTCTCCCACTGGGGCTTGTCGAAACCTGTCAGCTGTGTCATGCAGGGCCACCCGGTTCCCACCTGGGCATGGCACGGGGCCACCCTCCGCCTGACACCCCTCCTCCCCCCCTTTCTCTGTGTAGGCAATCAACGAGGTGGCTTTGGGCTGTCCCAACATCGTGGTCCTGCCGCTAGGTAGGTGCTGGGGTGGAAAAGGGATGAAGCCTCTTGGGATTTAATGGCACCCGTGGGTGGTTCCAGGAAATGCCACCCAAGCAGGTGGGTCCCCCGGTTTGGCTCAGCCCAACCGGGTCACTGCTGGGACCAGGAGGCTGCTCAGTGGCCAGGAGCTGCCTCCCACCATGTCCTACAGCATCCTGCCTGGGACAGGCCCCCCCTCCAGCCTGTCCCCAAGCTGCCCTGTCCCCTTGCAGACGTGACAGATCCCAACAGCATCAAGGCAGCGGTCAGGAAGGTGCGGGAGGAGGTGGGAAGCGCCGGCCTTAACCTCCTGATCAACAATGTCGGCACCACGCGCCGCAGCACGCTGGCCACTGAGACGGCGGAGAACATGACCCTCGTCTACACCACCAACACCATCGGGCCCCTGCAGACAAGCCAGGTGAGGCCGCAGGCACCCCCTGCCCCAAATGCTGGCAGCAGGGAGGAAGAGGATGGCGATGCCTGAGTGCCTGTCCGCCACAGGCGTTCCTGCCCCTGCTGAAGGAGGCTGCTGAGGCCAAAAGGCAGCAGGGGATGAGCTGCAGCAGAGCTGCCATCATCAACATCTCCAGCATCTTGGGCTCCATCGAGGCGGCGAAGGCTTGGGAGGAAAGGCAGGACGTCTGCTACCGCTGCAGCAAGGTACCGCTGCTGAGACAATGGGGAGGAATTTGGGGGTCACCTCCTGTGGCATTCCGCCTCCCCCCGCATGCCAGCCATGGCAGTGCCACCCCGTGATGGAGGTGGTTGTGCTCCCAGGCTGCGCTGAACATGCTCACCAAGTGCCTGGCCCTGGAGTATGGGAGCAGTGGGATCCTCTGTGTGTCCGTGGACCCTGGCTGTGTGACGCCTCCCTTGGGACAGGGGACGGTGAGTGACAGGAGGCACACAGCCACCCTGGCTTGGCAGATACCCATGGGCATCCCTTCCTGGGGTGTCCCATCCCAGGGACTTCCCTTCCCAGGGGCATCCCTGCCCAGGTGCACCCACCCTGTGCAGCCCCAGGGTCCCAGGAGAGCTGTGCCAGCGCAGCAAAGGGCCAATTCCAGGCTTTCCCCCAAAAACCGATCCAGTTTCCTCCCTATTTTTTATTTCATTTCCCATCCCAATCGCGTGTCAGCAGAGGGCACCCTGGCCCTGTGCTCGGCTCCAGCAGGAGAGCTGCACCCAGGGTGCTGCCTGCCCAGCACCCCAGGGCCTTCATCAACCCAAATTCAGCTTCTCTGACCTTGCCAAGAGCAGGCAGGCAAGGTTGAAGACAAGCAGCCTCTTGCAGCATAGCTGGGCAGGTCTTACCCCCACGCTGGCTTGCCGAGGGAACAAATGAGTCACTTTTATTAGGAACCACAAAATTAACCTCCATCCTTATAGCACCCAAATTAGGGACGATTAATTTGTGCAAAGCCACGTGCCTTGGCTGCTAGAGCATCTCCAGCCTCTCCCGACCTACCCCAGCCGGACCTGGCATCCCACTGCACCACAGGCTGGGGGTCCTGGGAGTGGGGGGGCAGTGGGCTTATTTTTCTTTTCCCCGTGCCCTTGAGTCCAGCAAGGCCCGGTGACAGAGGAGGAGAGTGTGCGGGGCGTCTTGCGGCTGCTGGCCCAGCTCTCAGCCACCAGCAATGGCACCTTCTGGGACTGGAGAGGGCAGAGCCTGCCCTGGTAAGACCTCAGTAAAGTTAATTAATTGTCATTTCCAGGCTCGTTTTTGGATGGATCTGTGGGGTGAGGGCAGGGAGCCCCTGTTTGTGGGGTGAGATCTGGGGTCACTGCCCACCCCCCCACACCCCAGGGATGCTGATTTGGGCTGGGGCAGCAGAGGGAAGGATGCTCCAAGTGTGGTCCTGCATCTTGGTGCCAGGCTCCACTGGGGCATTCCCTGGAGCTGAGGGATCCCCCTCGGGCATCCTCACACTGCCCGAGGGGCAGGTCTGGATACAGCCCCGGTCTATGGCCATAAGCTACCCTCGGTGGTGGCCTGGGGGCATCCCAGACAGCCCCGAAACCGCAGGCATGGGGCATCCTTACTGGAGCCCAGGTCTCGCCCTGCTGAGCCTGGCTCCCCCCAAACCAGTCGGCCTTTCTGTGCCCACCCCAAGGATGCTGATGGGCTTTTCTTTCTGCTGGTTCAAGGCCAGCAAAGGCTCTTCCTCTTTCAGCAGCTGGTGGTTTCACAGCAGGAGCCTCTCCCAAGCCCTAGCACTTCCCTAGGGATGTCTTCTGGGATCTCGGCACCCCTCCTGGGCTGACCCTCCCTGCATCCATCCCATCTCACAGTACAGCAGGAGGTATTGCAAACAGGCTTCGATTCCCCATCACATGAGGGCATTTCTGTCATGGCTCTCAGTTGACATTTTTGAAGCCATCCCTTGAAAGAGGGACCGGAAAAAAAAAAATCACATCTCAAGTGGGCACTTGGGCTGGAAACGCAGGGCTTTGGCAAGCCTTGAGTCCAGCTGTTTGCTGCCAGGATGCTCTGGGAAGCCCGGTCAGGGTCATTTTTTGCTGGGGCAGCTTTGGTTTTTCCCACGGTGGAGGAGCAGGGGGGACCATTCCCACACTTGACGTGAGGGAGCAGGACGTGGGAGTTCAGCCCCGGGGGCTCGGGCAGCCCCAGGTGGGTCCCTGGAGCAGCTGGGGGATATTTGTTAAAGGCAGCAGGGATGGGCAGGCAAGGGGGTCCCTCAAATTAAAGCCCTTTATCAAGCGGCGGATCATAGTTGGTGGGCTTTATATAAACATGAACCATCGCTAGGCATGAAGGGGGAGGAGGAGGAGGAGGAAGAAGACATTGCATCCGCTTGTGCTGCAGTGCCCACAGCCTCACCTGCACGCTCTCATAGACTTGTAAGCCTAAGCAGCCTGCAGCCAGGAATACACCAATTAAGGGCTCTAATAGCTGATTAAGGTAATTAACTAAGCTGGGAAGGGGGGAGGCAGCCAGCCAGCCCCCAGCTCCTCCGGCGCACTGCCCACACCTCACTGCCAAGCACAACAAACAAATCCAGATGTTTTCTTGCTGGGGAAGCAGCCAGGGCTGACGGAGGTGGCTCGCCAGACGGTAGTTCTGGGGGGGCGCTGTATCGGAGTGAATATCTCCCTCGCAAAGGCAAGGGAGGGGACTGACACCCCAAAAGAGGAGGCAGCGGAGGCAGCTGGGGTTCTCTCTGCTGGTCCTTTATTTTGGGTAAGGTTGGAGGTTCCTGCGACCCGGTTGGAAGCTGAGCTGCAACGCTAGAGAATTAACTGGTGTTTAATGAAAGCTGAGGAAAAAATACAAACTGAGAGGAACCGAGCAGTGCCCTCACCCCTGCTGCGGGCAGGACAGCGTGTCCCCCGCTCCCCGCAGCCGGCAGTGGCTTACCCATGGCGGGGGCTGTGTCCGAGCCCCCCCCGCAGCCTGCACCCATGTAGAAGGTGCCTGGCATTTCAGATGGTGCTGACCCCATGGCTGTGGAAAGTCCCAGGGTCCTGGAGGGGGAGGGTGTTTGGTCCTGGAGAGGGTGGCATTTGTTCCCCTGTTGCACCTTCCTTGGGGACCCCCCCCAAGGGGCTCTGCTGGGGGGGGGGAGCAGAGCAGAGGCAGCATCCCAGGCTCCAGGGTAAGGAGAAGGCATCAAGCAAGGGGTCTTCTGTGGTGTTAGGTGGACTCCCACCGACCTGGCCAGAGGGGGACAGGCGTCACCACGTGGGACAGGACCCCCACACGTGGCACCCCCGTTCCCGAAGGTCGTCGTACCACCCCCCCTCCCCGGCCCGGTCCCCACTCACAGGGCACCCCGTAGAGCATCCGCATGACCTTGAGGCAGTTGTCCAGCAGCGCCTTGGGGCGCACGGCCTTCCTCCTGCTCTCAGCACCCCCACTGTGGACCAGCTTCACCAGGTCGGCCACCACCACCTCCACATCTGTCTGCAGGGACAGGTCACCAGGTCACCGGGGTGTCACCAAGGCTCCCCCCCAGGGACACCAGGGTGCAAAAGCTACAGATGCTGCATTGGCCGGGAATCGAACCCGGGCCTCCCGCGTGGCAGGCGAGAATTCTACCACTGAACCACCAATGCCAGATGTGAGGCAACCCACAGCCCTGACCCACGGACCCAAACCCAGCAGGGGCAGGGGCAGCAGCGATAGGCACTGTCGGCTGTGAATCCTCCCGACTGAGGGGACCCCAACAGACAGCTCTCATGCTGGGGGTACAGCCATGGCAGCGCCTCTTCCTGCTGCCTCAGACATCACCTCCAGCAAGAGGGCGTTGTCATTAGCCTTCAGAGTCAACACTCTGATGAGACGACCAAGCAAAGTTCGCTCTCTTCTCGGAGGGGCTGCAGAACGTGCCTCAGGGCACAGGACAAGCCAGCCACACTTTGGGTTCACCCTGGAGACCCAGCTGTGACAGGCCACCCCCATCCAGCACCTAAATGCAGCTCCCCCCGGGGTGCGGCAGCTCCACCAAGGCAGCAGAGGCTTGGGAGGAGAAGCAGGACCTCTGCTGCTGCTGCAGCAAGGTATTGCCACTGGGAAAATGGGGACTAATTTGGGGGTCATCTTTTGCAGGATCGCTGCTCTGGCTGTGGCGGTGCCACCCCGTGACGGTGGTGGCGATGGTCCCATTCCCCCCTCCAGCCCTACCTGCCCACCAAGGGGGTTTCGCAGGCAAGAAAAAGTTGTGCTGCATTGGCCGGGAATCGAACCCGGGCCTCCCGCGTGGCAGGCGAGAATTCTACCACTGAACCACCAATGCCAGATGTGGAGCGTCCCCCGGCGCTGCCCCACGGCCCCGCACCCCGGGAGCCAACCTCTCCTCCCCAGCAGCTTGCCCATGCCAGCCCACCCGCAAGACCCATATGCAGGGGGGCTGTGCACGCCCGTGCTGCACCCCCCGCCTCGGTGTTCATGCCCGTGGGTGCATGTCCTCGCAGCGCATCTGCGTGCCACGCGTGTGCACGGGCCACGTGAGCACACAACACGCATGTCTGTGTGCACAGGCACCAGGTGCTTGCACACTGCATGTGCACGCAGCACCCCTGCGAGGACTGTGCAAGGCTGCGTGCGAGCTTGCGGCTGGGCTTGGGCATGCCAGGGGGGGTCCCTGGGGTCTCCCCACCTGCCGGTACTTGCTGTACTCCTTGCCCAGGGCGTCGAAGAGCTGGCACAACTCCTGGGTGTACTTCCAGGATGGGTGCCTCTCTGGCAGCACCTCACGGATCCGCAGCACCGCCTGGGAGCTGACGTGGAACCAGAGGTACCGCAGTGCTGCCTCCGACACCGTCCCATTGCGCTGCAGGCGAGAGTGTGCCCCAGGTGAGACCCACGCAGTCCCCGCGGGTCCCCGGAGCATCCTCGTCATGGGGCCGTCCCCTGCCGTCATCTTACCAGGCGGGTGATGTTGGACGGCCTCAGCACCTCTTCGTACTGGACCTGGACCGTGTAGTTGATGGGGAAGTAGTGTTTCTGGAAAGGCAGAGAAGAGCGCAGGGGCTGGCAGCAAGGGGACAGGGACACCCCTGCCAGCCACGGCATGACACTGGGGAACCGGCAGAAAAGCCCTTTGACGTGGTCAACCCCCGAAGATGCACCAGCAGAAGCAGCTCTGGACACCATTGGGCACAAGTTGCCCCTCCCGGTAGAAAGAACAAACCACCCCCCGCACCCGCTCACTGTAGAGGCGGCAGGTGCTGCCCTCCCATGTCCCCCCTCGGGAGCAAATCTGGGCTCTGCAAAGCCACATGTCCCCCTCCCACCCCCCCCTCGGGGCGGGGGGTTACCATGTACTGCAGGCGCATCTCGTACTGCAGCTTGTCCTGGAGCAGGCGTGTGAGCTCGCATTCGCCCGGTGCAGCAGCCTCCAGCCCCAGCACGGCCAGGACACCTGGGCAGCCAAAAGCGAGAGGCATCAGCCTCCCCACCTCGGGGACACCCCCTGGGGTGACCCCCGAGGTCACCCACCCCCTACCCCCCACGCCCAAGCTGTACTCACACAGGACGGCCGCGTAGCCCTGCTGCATGTTGCCGGTGGCCGTCGGTGAAGCCCCGGGCTGCGCCTACATGGCCGGGGTTCACCGGCAGCCTCGTGGGCGGCGGTGCGCGCGGCGGGGGGACGAGGGACGGGCGCAGACCCCGGGCACTGGGCTGCTCTCCGGTAGCCCCGGGCGGTTGCCCCCTGCCATGGATGGGGGGTTAGTCCCCCTTCCCGGCCGTCCCCGCTGGCTTCTCCTCTCTGGCTGGCTGCAGGGAGGCAGCAGGTCCCGGGGCCATCACAGGGTGCCGGCAGGGATGCGCTCCGGGGCGGGGGGGGCGGGTGGGGCCCCCCCCCCCCTGCGCTGCAAGAGGGGATCTGGGGGGAGAGAGCCCCGGCTGCAGCCCCAGGGCAGGCAGGCGCCCAGGCTGCAGCCCCCAGGGAGGGCACCCGCTCCCAGCCCGGGGGGCTGCGGGGAAGGGAGGTCCCGCCGAGGGTCCCGGCTGGCCCTGGAGGCCTGTGGGTGGCCTGGGTGTGGGCTGCCGGGGTGTCACCTCCCGGTCTGCCGGGGTGTCACCCCCTGGCACCGCTCCCAGGGGACTTCCAGGGTGGGGCAGGGCAGGGTGGGGGGACCCAGCCCAGCACCGTTATCCCAGCAATGAGTTTGTCCAGCCTTAGCAGGAGCTCAGCCAAGGAGTGCCGGGGGATGGGGCTGGTGAAGCGGGTCCCCAAGCGGGGGGGGGGGCTGTGTCGTGTCTCCATGCTGTCACCCCAAGGGGAAGGAGACCACACCGTGTCCTCGTGCCCTGTCCCGCACAGCATCCCCACGCGAAACGGGTAGGTGGGTGTTGCGTCCCCGCGTGGAGCGGCCCACGCGGAAGGGTCCGTGTCATGTCCCAGCACAAAAAGGGCACCCCCCCGCGTCCCCACGCCGTGCCCCCC